TTCCAGCATCTGCAGTTTCTACTATCTAAGAGAGAGAAACTATTCCCTTTGGTGGAAGGATCCAGAATTGGAGATCACAGCTTGTAGGCAATTGGCAAAATAATCGAAGGCAACGTGAAGAAAAATCTTTTTGGGCAGTGAGCAGTTAGGGTCAGAAATACACTGCCTATGAATGTTGGAAGGATAAAATTGCCAGAGGACCGTACAGTTGCTCTCTCATTATAGAAAGAATGACTGGTGGTAGTTTAACCAGAAGTCACCATGCATCAGGTGAGGGGAGAGGTTGAGAAGGTAGGGCCTTCATGGTAACCTCAACCGGTGTTGAAATTGAACCTGCCTTGTTGGCGTCAATCTGCATCACAATCTAGCCAACTGAAAAAGGGGAGGTGATGGCTTAGTGGTATCATTCGTGGAGAAATTTGCAAGAAAATAAAAACCTTTGACCACAAGTCAATCACAAAGTGGTCAGCACGTAGCATCCTCAAGACACGGCAGGAAAAAGAGAGGGTGGATCCTGTCGTGTGGTTCCCTGAACAGACTGTCAAAGTCATTTGGCAGAATGCCTCATCACCAGAACTTTCTGACCAGCACCAAGACATCACTTGGCTGATGGTGAGAAGGGCACTACCTGAGAGATCCTTCATGTACGCCTGGTTGGTTTGCACCACTGCATGCTGTGGTCGAAGCAGCTGCAGGGAGGTTGAGACTATCACACATCTTCTGGAATGTGCTTTTTTAAAGGAAGTTTGGAGAAAGACGCAGTGGTTTTTGGCGAGGTTCATCCTGAGCAGCTCTGGGACACAGGACCCTGTACTCTATAGTCTGTCCCCCACACTGAGACAAACATCAACTGTAGCTGGAGGACCCTCAATTCGGTGAAAGACCTTCTTTGGTCTGCCCAAAACTTGTTGGTTTTCCAGAACAACTATTGCAGACTGGCACATTCCAAGGTCCAGGACTATGTGCTGAAGGATGCAGTAAAGCTTGGGGCAGCTGCTGCCATGACACCACTGTCTGAGGTCTTTCTGAAGTCAAACGGGTGTCCGTTCAATTATGAGACCCTCCTCGTGCCTCAAATGCATGTAAATATAGTCTTGTATATTTAAGAGACTCTTTGGTTTGTTTGTATAGGGTCAAACTCCAATGTTTGTTTACTTCCTTGATATGCTACTGTACAGAACTGAACTGCATTTGTAACTATGTATGTATAAAAGATATTTTTTAATGAATAAAGTATGTTTTTGAAATTAAAAGAAAAGGTATTATCACTGGACAGTTAATCCAGAGACCCAGGTAATATTCTGGGGACCTGGGTTCAAATTCCGCCATGGCAGATGGTGGAATTAAGAGGCCAATGGGATCACTGTCGATTGTTGGAAACGTTCATCTGGTTCACTCATGTCTTTGGTGAAGGAAACTGCCATCCTTACCTGGTCTGATCTACATATGACTCCAGACTCACGACATAGAAGCATAGAAAGTAGGTGCAGGCATGGGTCATTTGGCCCTTTGAACCTGCACCATCATTCAGTATGATCATGATTGATCATGCAATTTCAGTATCCCATTCCACTTTCTCCCCATACCCCTTGATCCCATTAGCTTCAAGGGCCACATCCAGCTCCCTCTTGAATCTATCTAATGAACTGGCCCCAACAGTTTTCCGTGGGAGAGAATTCCACAGGTTCACAACTCTCTGAGTGAAGAAATTTTTCCTCATCTCAGTCCTGAATGGCTTATCCCGTATTATTAGACTGTGATGTTTAATTCTAGACTTCCCCAGCACTGGGAACATTCTTCCCACATCTAGCCTGTCTAGTCCCATCAGGATTTTATATGTTTCTATGAGATTCCCCCTCCTTCCTCTAAAATCCAGCAAATATAAGCCCAGTCAATCCAGTCTTTCTTCATATGTCAGTCCTAACATCCTGGGAATCAGTCTGGTCAGCCTTTGCTGAACTTTCCCCAATGGCAAGATTATCCTTCCTCTGACTAGGAGACTAAAACTGCACCCAATACTCAAGGTGTGGCCTCACCAAGGTATAAATGGAGCAAGGCATCCCTACTCCTATACTCAAATCCTCTTGCAATGAAGGCCACCATGCCATTAGCTTTCCTCACTGCCTGCTGCACCTTCAGTGACTGATCCACCATGAAACCCAGGTCTCGCAGCACCTCATCTGCTTTCCCGTTTTTGCAACCAAAGTAGATAACCTCACATTTATCCACATTACATTGCATTGCATTTGCCGACTCAGCCAGTCTTCCCGCGTCACCTGCAGCCTCTTAGTATCCTCCTTACTGCAAACACTGCCACCCAGCTTAGAGTCATCAACAATGTAGTTGACTCTTAACTGCCCTCTGGGCAATTAGGAATGGGCAATAAGCGCTGGTCTGACCAGCGACGGCCTCATCTCGTGAGCGATATAAAAACATACCCCTCTTGGTCATTACCCCAGGGCTTTTTGTAGGATCTTGCTGCACATAAAATCGCTTTTTTTCAAACACATTAAATTTGCTTCAAAAGTACTTCATTGACTGTAAGATTCAGGTATTTGGAAAGAGCTGCTAAAACATGAAGGTTACTATATAAAATATGAATACTTCATTTCCCCTCCCTTGGCTCTTCACCTTTAAATCCATCTCGGCGCTTCAACCGTCATCCATCGACTTTGGGTCACATGACCTACCACCGTCCAATCGAATCACACCCCGGCTCATGTAGATCACGTGATCAATTATCGTCCAATCAATCGTAGCCCCCGCTGCT